AACTGTCATCAGTGATGATGAAAACCCCTAGCTCTGTATAGGGCTGCAGGTCTAGGCAGAAGGAGGTGTTTGGGTGACATGATTGCTTGTTCTTTGGAAATAGGGACAGATGTAATAGCACAGGAGAGGAGCAGGAAGTGGCACCTTTTATGTGTCAGTGGCATTCTTCCTCCCCAGCAAGGTACCAAGGTGCATTTGTTGGATGTGTGGCTCAGTACAGATCTGTGGGTCGCCAGAGTAGCTAATGCTGGGACAAGAGATGAAGTACCTGAGAGTGTGGGAGACATAAGGGTGCTGGGAACTTTCATCCTAGCTGCCTTGAAGTGTGGATGAAGTCCTTGAGAGACGAGTACCTCAGCCAAAAGGCTGGCTAGACTTGAATTTAGAAGATGGGGAGAAAAAATGGAATCACTACTGACCCATTTCCTGAAAAATCTAGTAGTATTGTGATGACTTTTTATATCAGTACTAATGAAAAATTGAAGTGCTTATCAAAATTGATACTGCTTGTCAGTACTTGGCAATCTGCATTCCTCCTTCAGAATCCCGAACTGAGGGGAAGCAATGAAAACATTGAGATGTAAATGGAATAAAGTAGAGAATATTTACTGTAGTACAGTCAATACAATCATATACCGAAAAAATGGAAGGAAAAAAAATATCTTGACTACTTAAGTAGTAAATGAAGATTATCCTGGCTACCAATATGCTGTTGGATTGCTTTGAATATTGAAGGCAAGCCCATCTATTTCATGAATTTGCAGAAGACCTGATTATGTTTTTTGTGGGGAGGAATAAAAAGGTGCTATGCTTTTCTGCATAGCTTGTCTTAAAGTCCTCATTCTGAATCAGTTTTCTAAAATTGTCATGGAAATTTGTAGCCAACCCTTCCCTTGAAGTAGCATGGGACAGAGATATTCCTTTTTGTTGTTGTTTTTATTTTATAAACAAAATCTTCGAAAGGTTAATTTGGTTGTACTTTCAAATTTTTATATTAGGCTTGCTGGTAGGTCATTGCCTAGTAACCTTTTTGGAGAGGAGATTGTTCAGGAGTCAGCGAAGGGTAGCATTAGAGATTATTTTAGTTCTTGGCTCCAACTGCTCTGGGGCGTGATTACTAGAAGAACTGCTGGGAATAATGGAAATTCCTCTTAACAAAATGGCATCTGGATTGGCCTTTCTGCAAGGCACTGTCCTTTCCATCAGAATTGAGGATGTGGCATGAGCTGCATCCTTGCCTCTGGATCTTGAATAGAAATGCAGATGTTTACATTTGTTTCACAAAAAAAGGGGACTATGGGAGTTATCTTGTTGTTTCTGAAGTTTGGAGAATTGTGTCTGGGAGGTATGTGGGAGGAATGTATCACTGCTTTCTAGTAAGCTTCTGAACTCATGATAAAGAATTACTCTGGACTTCTAAGATTTTTTTTTTTTAAATATCCCAGCTTTTCCATTTAAAAAATGCATGGGATCTTGAGGAATAACAAGGATTTCTGTGTGCTGTAAATTGAGTCAAAACTATGTTTTTCTTTTTCTTTTTTTTCCCCTCTCTCTAGTGGAATGCAGTAGCTCTGTGGGCATGGGACATTGTGGTTGATAACTGTGCCATTTGCAGAAACCATATTATGGATCTGTGTAAGTAAATGGTGGGGAAGACAGTTGATGGTTTTGACTTGTATATGATGCACAGCTGAAATTTCCCCTGTTGAGGGTATAATTCAGCAAATGCAGCTTTCAGTTAGGAACTAAGTCTTAACAGTGCAAATACTAAGCTCTATTTTATGTAATGCTGAAGTCCTATAATTTGTTTTTGTGACCTCTGTCACCATACTGCTTTTCCCTCACCCTTTTCTTGTAAAGAGTAGAATCACTTGGTACCACATCTACAGACGAGATGATGTTGCTGAGTGTATTTGGGATGCAACAAAGAGGAAAAGGAATCATAATAAAGAGGCAGGAGGAAATGAAATTATTCAGGGTCGACAGGTATTGCTCACAAAGAGAGGTATTAGTTTTTAGAGTTGGGGATGTTGCTATAGGTATCAGCTTTTTGATGACACTCGTTAGGATGAAATCTTGCAATACTTTCTGTGTCTGGCCAGGAAAGGCTTGGACCAGTGACTTCATTTGATGCTTCATTCTACAAAAACTGCCTTGCATAAGTTAGTTAATGTTATGGTATGGGGAATTTTGTGGCCACCTGGAGAATTAATTGTTCGTTTACAAAGGAGAATAATCAAATGCTGAAATAAAAAACAAAGTATTGCTAGTATTGGTTTGAGTTTTTGCTGTATAATCTAGATGGTTCAATAAGCTTGCTATGTAGGAAAATAAAGTGGAATTAATGGAATTAAGTGTACAAATTTCTGTTGTGAAATAGGTGTGCATACACAAAGTCACTGGTTTCAGTCCTGTAAAAGATTGGTAATGAGTACAAAACCATTTCCACCCCCCCAAACTGACAAGATATTGTTGGCACCATAACTGTCCATCTTGTTTGAGTCATGAAGGACAGAAGACCTTTTAATATACCCCAGCCAGAAATTTGCTAGTACTACTAAAATGTGGAACCCCCCCAAAACAAGAACAGGTACAGCTACAGTGTCTGGGAATGGCCTGTCATGATCCCATTGTGGTAGTTTTGTTGCACTTTGTTTTTATGCAGTTGCCCTTGGAACTACTGGTAATGGTAACTTACTGTCAGTAAGCCTATATGGAAATAAAACGTTTCAGAAAAATGAGACCTCAAGTTTATAGTAACAACTAGTGAGAGATGCACCTGATTTTACATCATATTTGAATAATAATTAGAAAACTACTTTCAGAAGTTTTTTTTTTTAAATAAAGAGAAAGCACACTGTAACGCACAGGGCTGAAAATGGGTTAAGCAAGTTCAGTTCTTTGCTTTGGGACAGATATGTTTGTATTTTGAGCCAGCTACTGCCTATCCATGCCTCAGTTTATTCTTAGTTATTAGAAATGGAATGATAACACTAAAGAGAAGCAAGTGAGAATAGGGGTTATGAAATATGCCAAGGTATTTTGACGTAAAGATTTCCTTTTTAAGTACTTCTAATCTGTACCATCTTGAAGAGTAGTTGAGGTGGACACTGGACTACTACTTAGTCTCTCAGATTTATGATATATTAGAGAGGAAAGCATGTCACTGACAGGCAAAAGGAACTTTAAAGATTTGTTAGAACATAAATTACATTTATAGAATTTACAAATGTATAGAATGAATAGATAAAATCCTGTAATTCAAGATAATTATTCATGATAAGTGGGATATGTTGTAAGATAATGGATGCTGGTGTGTTTCATTCTATTAATCTGCCTCAAAATTAATAGTGCCTCCCATGAGAGACCAAATACAGTCTCATATATTTGCTGTTTTTTATAAATAGCAAATAGGACATATGAGGATGAAGGAGAGATGTGGAGGAGCTGGAAGAAGAATGGACAGATGTTATTTTCCAGTAGTGAGTTTTGTGTGTCAGTTCTTAAAAAAAAAAAAAAAAAAAAAATCCTACCAACAAGGGGGTGGGGTTGAGAGTGTATGGGTAGATTAGGAAAAACAGTGAAGGAAGAGGGCATAGGTAACTTTGTTTTTCTTTTTTGAGTTGCTCAGGCATAACACGTTATTAGTTTGGGTATGAGGAATGTTATAAAAAGCCTGGACTGCAAATGACAGACCAAAATTGACAGTATACAGAGTAGAAGGGGTATCTAAATTGGTGTTCTGAGATCAGTGTTGGCTCTGGATTTACTTACTTCCTTGTTACAGATCATTAATGTTGTTAAAAACACTTTAATTAGATTTTAAAACATAAGATGTGAAGTGATGGGAAATTGAGGAAAAATTAATAGAATATGCAGGGAAGAAAAACACAAGATTCAATTTGATAAAATGCAGGATACAAATGCCTCCCTCTCCTAGTGATGAAGAGAAACCTTGAAGGAGAAAACATTAAAAGAGTGATAAGTAACGCCAGCCATGCTAATGGAAGATTGTTAACCTTACAAAGTCAGGCATCCAAAAGCTAGGATATAACAATGTTAAGGTGTCACGCCATTCTTCTCGTGCGTGTACATTATGACTCGGTCATAATATGGTCAAAGGATTCCCCCCTGCCCTCAGTATAGTCTGTATTCAGTGTACAGAAGGAATGAGTAGATTTTCAGTGTTTTGTTTTCATTCTTCTCTGGAAAGACCCAGGTCCTGGGTCTTGGACAGGCTTGGGAGCATCGACCACCTCTCTAGGAAGCCTGTTCCAGTGCTGGACCACCTTCTTGGTAAAGAAATGCTTCCTAATGTTCAGACTAAATCTTCTCTGGCTCAGCTTTGAACCATTCCCACGTGTCTTATGACTGGATACCAGGGAGAAGAGATCAGCACCTCCCTCTCCACTTCCCCTCCTCAGGAAGCTGCAGAGAGCAATGAGGTTGCCCGTCAGCCTCCTTCTCTCCAAACGAGACAAGCCCAAAGTCCTTGGCCACTCCTCATAGGACAGCCGCTCCTCATAGGACAAGTAACAAGTGTACTTCAAGTTTATTAGCCTGGTTATGTGTTTTTTCTGTCCGTGTTTTCTGAGTGAGTACATGATGTGTTGTGTTAGCCAAGCTACGTGTATTTATTTCTCTTCTTCCCAATAAGTCAGTCCCTTCATGACATGATTTTAGAAGGCAACATGTAAAGAGAAGGAGGAACCCGTACAGTGGTTACCGTTGCTCAAGCAGAAGCTGCTTTGAAGAGCTCTTATCATCAATTTTACCAGTGCATTGGGCTGTTTACTGTAGCTGCAAACAAAAGACATATACTTTACTTCTGTTACCTGCCATTATGGCTACTTAAATCTTGGGCTATTTTTCTTGTTATGTAAACATACAGAAGATTTCTGCAATAGAAAATGTATAGGAAGAGGGATGGTTCTTAATAGATGCCATGGTTCAGAAGTTACCATTATATAATATGCATTTCTGTAACTCCCTGAGTTGAAATGCTTCCATTGCATCTTTCACAATTATTTACATGTATTTCAGGTTTTAGCTATATCTTTCTGCCCTCACCTCCAGATACTCTGTCAAAAGCAAGGCAAAAGAAGAGCCGCTCGGTATTCCTCCAGGACCTGTTACTGTCTGACTCTTACCGCTTCTTTTGGGTCAGCAGCTGGTAAATAGCTTCTCTTTCTTTCAAGAGCCAGAATCAGCAGCTTTCATTCTGTGACAGAGAATGTTTATTGTTTTATTTCTTTGTTGATATATTGTCCTTTTTTGAAATGAGTCAAGTAGGAGACCAAAAAGTGCTTCAGCTTTTGGGAAACCTTTTTTTGGCAGTCAAAGGTAGTAGTGCCAGCAGTAGTCTCCAGCCTGGAGACTACTGTTTGATGAGGGAGATGAATCTGTGTGTCTTGTTGGAAGGGCCTTATATCACCACCAGAGAACTCCTCCTCAGCTATTTATGCAAAAGTTCATCTGTCCTCTTAAGCTTTTGGGACTGTCGTGTTTTAGACTGTACTTGCTGGTCAGCGAATGTTTGAGTAACACTAAAATTAATTTCAGTGCTGCTTTTCTTCCTTACCTAAACCACCTTTCTTCCCTCTCACTCTCAGTCAAAATAGTGAGTCCTATAAAGCCTGGAAAAAAATATATAATTGTATTGTGTTCCAAAGCCTACAGCTCACAAGTTAAGGCCACTTGGGGGGGGGGCGGTGTGGAAGACAAAATTACATAAAAATGGGCTAG